AACAACAACCAGTAACGTAATCGCAAAAAAATCGAGTAGTATAATAGAGTGGGTATATGGTAGATAATGCCTGCAGATAGTTGTGAGGAATATTTACAACAGACGCAAATGATACAGCTTTATTGTTGCAAATTTTTATGGTTAGGTAAATACGGAATGATTCAACCAAGTGTTCCTTGAACTTAAGGTAACAAATGCACCAACTTTTATATTTTCAATTATTCAATGTATTTCTGTTGGCACTTGTTCCTGCGAAGTTTGAATCTTTTCATCCTCTCTGTTTCTGAGATAACTCTAATTACAGACTAGAATCAGCACCGTGGCCACAGGTAAGATAATTCCAAAGGTGAGCAGTTGATAATATGTACTGCAATTATAGCTGTTCTCTTGAACTGATTTATCCGCTCTACGCTGGATGAGTTACTATATCTTTGATTATATTTTGATATTTATAGAAACAATTTCGCACAGTTAAAAGTTTGTATTCACAAATACTGATAGTAGGCTTTGCTAAATTACCATGAAATAGAAATCGTTAAAAGACAGAAATCCTGCTGATAAGACTAGGCACTACAGTATGACGTGACCCTACACAACCAAATCGTGACCTTTTGGACGTAATATGAAAAAAAAATATTAGTTTGACTATTTGTTTTGAATGTCAAGTCGGAAGCTGTGTGGCCTTTTTTTTCTAGTAATAGTCGAAATTTTGCTACTTATCGAATTTATTTCGATAAAACGTACATTCGCCTGCGAGCAATTTCTTATTCAAGAAGCTCTGCATATTCATTGAATGTTACCTAATCCATTTACAAAAAATTGATTATTTTGGAAATCCACCCAATTTTTATACCACTAGGCTTTTAGTTTTTGATTTTATTATCATTTGCTTCTAGTTGGTTCTCTTCTCCGGACACCTTAAAGCAGCATGGAAAATAAACAGATGAGCAAAATCTAACATTTAATATTATTTTTGAGAACAACTAATAGTCTCTTTCGCTACATCTAGTCAAAACGAAGCTAAGGAATAGTAAAATCGGACTTTAAAAAAACAAAATCTGAAATAACAAGCAGCTGCGATGATTAAGACGATCGAAAAATACTTTGCTTGGTTTTTCGACCACTCATTTTTATTTTATTTGCGATGTGAGTGACACAGATCATCACAAATAAATGCATAGGCCATGTGTATCTGCTAAAGATTAATAAAAGAGTGCTGTTGACTTTTGTTTTGAAGCCAATATTTGTCAAGAAATATCACAAGGATGTGAAAAACGGTAAAATTCGCCCCTCCCCAAACTGGCGCATACCGATGTTCTGTCTTATAAACAATATCCTGAAACACTTCCAGCAGAAGCCTCAGCTGCCTTAGAAAATATCCAGTTATGGGGCTTTTCAGCCACAATCCACCTGGAGTAATTGTCGAGCAAAATAGGTTAAATGTCATATGTCCCAAAAGAATGAAATGCTCTGTGACCTTGTCATTTAATCAATAAGAATCCCACGAGCGATCCAATGATTTGGGAAAGCTTCGTTCAGGTAATTTCTAATGTGGCAACGTTCCGTCATGTTGGAAACATAATGTTTTATCTGGAACCCCTATCATTCCATGGTTTGGAAGCATTGTGACGACGGAAGGTCCGATCTGTTGTCTTAAAACCATAAGTAATTGTCACCGTGGTACTGCTCTATAAAACATGATCCTATAATTTGGTTACCAAGTACTCGAGGTCATCATATTGTTATATCTGAGCTTAAAGATAGGTTTATTTCCAATTCTATTGGAAATAACTACTTATCTCCCTGTTCAAAATTTGCTAACAGCCCAGCAGACCGTATGGGACGGTAGGTGGACAATTTTTTCTGTAAACATTACGCTTCAAAGAGCTAAGAAACATATACTGCCAATGATATTTAACACTTTCTAGACTTCTGTCATACGCAATATCTCCAAAAGCGTACTGATTGTGAGCAGCAGAGTAGAGTAGTATTCTATAATAAATACCATCAACGAAATTATTATCAACGGAAAATCGTGAATGTCAGAATGTTTAGAATTAGGTTAATGTTGGTCCAATTTTTGCTTGAGTAAATTTGTATACTGCGATGCAGAATAAAAGAAATGTGCTCGCCGACTCAATAAATCAACACTATTTGTCTTCAACGTGGCCATCCTTCGCAGCGCTTCGCACGACGGTGTGCATGGAAGGCGTCTACCACATAATTCAAGGCAATTTCAGAGAACACCCTATAAGATCAAAAGGTAACAGTCCATATATTCAATGTTATCATAAGGGTCGATTACAACAACACCCTCACATATTGAATAGACCCCTCAAGTGATGACAGGACAGGCATAGGATGAAGTAACGGGTCCCAGAAAATCTGCAGGCAGTTTTCTCTAAGGCTGTGTACACCCATTATCAAGGATCGCATGTGTCTATGTATTATGCAATATATGATTAGCTTCTATTGCTAGTATTATTACTTAGATAAGCTTCACTCGACGCCAACTTCGTAGATTGTAAACTTGACGCCTTTGGCCAATTAGGTATGCTTAGTCCTAGATTTGTTTAACATTGTACTTTCAAATGCTCATGTTCAATGAAATACTGATAACCCCAGGTGTGTTATATGAGAATAAATCTGCCAACTAAGTAGAAATTCCCACTCAATAATATTCCAAACGACACTTTGCTTTACGTGGTAAGACGAAAGTACCGGATAAAATACATTTATCTAACAAAATACGAAAGCGAAGCGGTATGTTACTAAAATTTTTGTTACATTTTGCTATCGGACCGAGATGAAGCCAAATCTCAGTTTGGTTTCAATTCGTATCCGCATAAAGTTTATGGAATGCTATGTTATCGTATACTCGATCGGCTAGTTTGAAAACCACGTTATAAAGTTGTGCTGTTAGAACTGGAGTTCTAGGAATCTGGTGCAGCACACAGCGGCGGTGTAGTGGCAGGTTCATTTGGGATAAATTGATTCCGAACTATACGCAGTTCTTTTGTGGAAACAACTGTAAACCATATTTTTACCGATTTCCGAAAGCATTCATGTACGCTGACTTACTGGGCCGAGTTTGTTGATCTCATTCGTAAAAGAATGTGTCTGGTTATACACCTAGGTCAGTCAGGTTTGGCATATGAACGATTTAATTTGCATTATTTCTATTGTCTATAAATTATATTATTTGTTTAATGCTATTTTTTGGATAGAATATGTTTCCGATATTATATGAAGTGTCACTTTCCAGGACGCTAAGGATTGTTACAGGTTCTGGGACACTGGTAGTGGAGCGAGTAGTACCTGACGATGTTAGCTGAACAAATTTATCACATAAGTTGGCGTCGTGATTGTATGTCGACGCCTATGGGTACCATTCCAAAGGATCTACAAAGAGAAAAGGATCATGCGGGCAAAGGTATATAACAATCAGCAAAAATAATGGGCAAAATCCGCAAAAAGAAGGAAAGTGGATTCTAGCACAAAATAGGATTGGTAACTCGAGCGATACGTATTTTTGCTTGTTGTCTTCATCAGGTCCGTCATAATATGCAACTACAAAAGTAGATACACATGCCGATACATCCGGATACAGGTATAACCTGGGGAAATGACAGGCGGAATCACCAACAACAGCAAACCTACACTTTGTAGTATCATGGGCAGAAGACCTCGAATTTTCAAGGCGACATCTAACCACAGCCACGCGGCCGATTATAGCCACTCCAAGCTCAAAGGAACTATAAAGGGAAAAGGATCATGCGGAGAAATGTAGTGGATTCGAGCAAAAAGTTTGTCTTGATCATTTTGTGCCCGACTTTTCAAAATTGTGCGTACCCTTTATGTTCCAAGCTTCGTTTTCACAAGGTAAATTTGTCTTGTTTTCTGCTGTGTATACTAGGGTTTATTTTCTGCCCTTATTTTATTAATGTTATTTTAGTGAATTTTGAAAGAGCGTATTTATCTTTTTTGAAATAAGTTTCGTGAATTCGAGCTTTGAACCACAATAGTGCCAATACTGTTATTTCTTCCTGGTGATTTTTTGAGTGTTTTAATAATTAAATTTTGGTTTCCGATATTCTGGAATTATTTTGAGACATGTGCGTTTATCGGATGTTGTGGCTACCGTTTCATTGATTTGATGCCTTGAATTGGGTCTTTATAAAGAGTTTGAGATTTTGCGAAGCATAAGAAACTTTATTTTGACTTTTAAAACAAGTTGAAATGTTGATTCTGAGCTGAATTAAGTATTTGATTCTACCGTTTTACTGTATATTGAGCAGCGTTGGTTTTACTCGTATAACCTGAAGTGTTGGTATCGAGCTTTGATTTCCTTTGGTTCATTGGAGACACTCTGTGTAATTATTTGTGATAAACTGCTTCCGCCTATACTACTATTCGTCAGTATTTGTCAGAGCGGTCCGGTCGACCTTTGCTCTTAGTTAAAAGTCCCGTCGGTCTGTTAGTCGGGTCTGGCTACCCAGATACCAAGCATGTTTAAGGGGCAAAGGGAAAGAACGAAAGAAAGGAAGGAAGAAATAGAGCAAAGAAAAGAATTAAATCATTTGAAATAGCTTAAGCATTATTGCTTTGACTACTCGAATTATTTTGTAACTCCTTAAAAATATTTTGTTCGGTTTGGTATACTGAAATAATTTTGGCTGGTATGAATTTACAATTTAATTTTGATCACAGTGCGAGGCGCGGCCTGGAATGTTTGCAAAACTGATCTCGCCTATATTGATTACTGATTCGGCCTATACTGATTACGGTTTCATTTGGGTTAGTGGAAATATTCTTCAGCCAAGGCTTATTTCGGATAAATTTAAGCCTATTGCTGTGATTTCTGGTTTATGCTCCAGATTTAATGGTACGATTTGGGACTTAGCGTTTTGAATAAATAAAGACGTATGCTGGGTGTATCTCTGAGATTTACATCTGACACTCTATTGAATTGCGTGAAACAAGTCCACCACTGTTTGCAGGTAGGCTTGGATTATTTGGTGCGTGCAGTAGGGGCGTGCATGAGTCCTAGCCTAGTGTTGGGTGTCCTCAGATTGAAGCCTCATCCATTTATAAAGTCCTTAGCTCACATACAGGAGACATATCCCACTCTTAGATTTTGGATTCGGTTCGTTGTCTTTTTGGCTTCGCTCAAAGGCCTTGGCAAATGGATAAATGTCAGGCTGACAGATGATTTGGAACCAGATAGATTAGAACCCTTCGAGTTTATACTGATTGTGAGACTCGTTTGGTGCCCGGTACTCAAACAGGTATATAGGGGATCAAAGGCGAGTCGGGAGGCCACCTTTTGTCCAGGTTGTAATCACTTTTGCCTACCTCTTAATATAAGTTGTATACGTATACAAACTGTCGCCATATATGAACGTTAGAGGTTTTTAATACTATATTAAAATTTAAATTTCCTTCATACGTTTATGTTTGCAATTTGATGTCGATTTTTTTTAATTATAAATGTTTTGTTTTGACAGATCTACCTTACTGTAAACGGTAAACTGTAAGCAGTACAATAGCAGTACAATAATATATTCAATTTATCTGTCTTCCAGGTGACAGTTCGTTTCTCTTCTGTTTTCATTATCACATTCCTATACGAGTACAGCATGTTACGGGACTTTTAGGCTATTCTAGTAGCGCAATGGTTGGGAATGTAATAATGAAAAAAAAAACGAACATGAAAGATAGTTAAATCTAATATTTTGTCATTGTACTGGAGAAAATCACCTTTGTGATTAAAACGTTTACATTAAAGAAGATCTGTCAATATATGGGGTTGTATTGACCAGACAAGGATTAGAGATTACAGAATGTGGCGTTTAAGTGGACTAGTGCTGTCCAGAATATATTTTCTTGATCATCAGTAAAAGTATAATATCGAAAGCGTCAAATAGCTGGAACACAAGCACAACCCCTAACTTTATTCGAAAGGGCTGAAAAAAACAACAGGCAGTACTACAACAAATTTAGCATATTGTCATCATATTAATTTAACACATAAAAATGAACAACCTCCCATAACAAATATGCAAAAAGTTATATTAATCAAATATCAAATATAGACGCAATGGTACTTATTGTTTCAAAATGATTATCCTGCTCATAAGTAAAACTACAGGAAGTTGGGAAACAACTTACCTAAATTTGAGGCACGGAAATAGCTTCAGGTACTGTAAACTATGCAGTGAAAACAAAGGGGTAGAGCACATATAGCGGCTTTTCTAAAAAATACTTCTCGACCTCCAAGACAAATCGAGAGGTCACAGCTTACCTAATATTAACCTAAAATATGCCTCCAATATTTGGTTCTTTTTTGTGCATATTGGTAAGCAAACATTTGCAACATAGATTCGTATGTCGGAAATCAATATGCAACATTGATTATGCAAGAAGTAGTGGCATCTCTGGTTTTTCATGTCGATAGATATCTTAAAAAATATCATTCGGAATCGAGCCTTACCAGATCTATGACTTGGGGATATTTCGTCCTAAAAACTACAAGTTCAATGAAAATGGAAATGAAATTTTTTGGACAAGATGTGTTTAGTACTTTGAACTTTTAGAGGATGTCTAGGATGTAGAGGATCACTTTTAAAAATATTTATGGAAAATATGAGATAATGGCACATGGCCTTACATGATTACAGCAGTTTTTATCTTTGTGTTCTTTGGACTTTGTATATATTAGCATGTTTGTCTGCGCTATTATGAGGGATTCTTTCTGTTCAAGCGTAAATTTTCGAAATTGCATTGAGCATTCCAAATCAAATGTGAGTACAGACGTTATGTTGCACAATGCGCAAGATGTCGCAGACAAATTAACAAGAGGTGAAACAGTCACGTTATCTCCCTCCCTGTCTTCATCTTCTACTGCCAGTTCAAGCAAAGCGCAATGATGATGATGAGTTGTTATATGTATATTATAAGCTTATCAAGAAACACTTCTTGAAAGTTGACAGGCATTGGCAAAATCACGGGCAAATACGTCAAAGCTGAGTTGACATTGTGTGGTTTCTGTGCAACCAGGATTGACAGATTCGACTAATGTACATTAGAAAGTGACTAATGGGCAAAGGTCCTACGGACCACCCAGACAAACAAATGACGAATAGTCAAAGCGGAGACTGCGTAGGTAACTAATCAAATCACACAACTTCGTCCTAGTTACATTGCAGAAGAGCTTGAAGTAAGAAGGAACACCCAGTATGGGACTTCAACTTGGCATATTTTGTAAAGTTTACTTAATCGATTCGCATAGCCAAAGCAAGTCCCAGGCAACTCAATAATCCTTTATCAGGATTCTTTCTTTAAAAACAATTTCCTCGTTAACTTTATTCGACGCGTACCGAAATTAAATATACCCCTTGCACTATACTCACGGACCCATATTAAATTCCCAAGTCCCACTGGAGAACCCTCAAGAATGTTAAACTTGAGCTGGAGATTCCATTGGCGTTCATGACTTTGTCGCAGATGTATATATAGTAATGACATAGAAGTCATCTCTCTGCACTGGATTTTGAACTAGGAGTCATAAACTGTACAACTTATCTATATGTATCTGTGTGCTTAAATCCTGAATCTTATCTGGCTTTCAGACGTTGTTTGTCTAATTTCTGTAGGTAATGCATTAAAAAGTCTCAAACTATCACTAAAAAGATACGTTTGCATATGGGATGTTCCAGCGAATTCTATGTCGTTACGTGATCTAAAATTATATGCATGCCTCTCGAATCTCGGTATTATACATTCCTGCAGATATTCAGGCAATAATTGATTTTTGGTTTTAAAAATTAATAAGACATTTGTATCCTTTGCTATATTGAAAGCCATCCGGGGGTTTTTAACATTAAATTAATAGGTGTATAACGTGTACAAAATATAGTACGCATAGCCTTATGTTGTAGTAATTGGAGCCTTTGCATGATAGCAACAATGAAAAAGAATAATTAAAATGTGGATATATAAATGGTATTGCTTACAAGAAGTCGATTCCAGTGACCAACATTTCTAAATATTTTCCGAAAAAGCCTATTTTACACATTTTTCTTTTACTAACATAGTCAACATGCATTGAAAAATTAAGCAGAGGAACTAAAACTATGCCCAGATACTTCATACTAGATGCATTTTCAATTTGACGATTATCTATCTTAATACAAAGTTTATTTTCTACATATGTATTACAGTTGTGCTTTGTCCCAAAAACCATGTATTTTGTTTTATTTCTACATTTAACTCAAGCCTATTGACACATAACCAGTTGTATAGAATTTACAGTATTGAGTTCATAGTATCTACTACTTGTCTAAAATGTTTACCGTGAGGTATCCTAATTTTACTTTCAATTGAATTTGGCGCCACGTCTAACACTACTGTTTACTTTCATAGTTATTTCAAAATCCAAAGCAGTCTGGCAATGGCCAAGGACATCTGCGGTGTCGTTATTATTTAATTGTTCGGACCTTTTGACATAAATATATAAATTAAACACTCAGCGATGATTATTGACAGCATGTGAATGACATTCTGACCTTGTTCTTAGAGTTTGTAATTTCGAAAGTTTCATACTGAATCAATACTTACGATACAAGAATACCATGTTTCTGCAATTTTTAATGGCTTTAAGGCTTCTAGAGACTTTTTAGTGCGGTTCCATTATACGTCTTCGATTTCCAATATCATTCTGTTCTTTTGAGACAGTTATAATACTGTTCACAGGGATGTTTGCAATTATCATCCATTATTACATGATAGGATTTAACTTGGAATTTAAGTTCCACCACGTGAAGCATGACTAGGTTCGTATTGATGTAGCTTGTTTCAACTTAGCGCCCTGATAGCATTGTACAAATTCTTCTAGCTGGAGCACACAAGTACAATTCCAACAGATCTATTCTATATCGATAACGTCACTGTAGTGTCGCAAACCATATCTAACTTAGTTCTCGTCCAAGTATTTTTATACAGATTGTTATCTTGATGCCATGCTGGTCAACTCACATAATAATGCATATCCGTAAAGCATATCTTTTTTTGCGGGGAGGTGAAAATCTTCAAAAGGCGCCAACGGCCGCGAGCGCCGCGCTGTGTCGGATTCACCTTGCTGCCTCGCCGAACAGGATCACTCGGTGAAGGCAGTGAAAGCCCCAACAAAGAAATAGGGCTCAGTAACCAGGAAGGTGCCTACCAACTAAAAATCCTCCTCTACCCTACCTCTACATACCGGAACCGCTCGCGCATTACTTCAATATGCAGGGTGTCAAAGTTTTGTATAACATCGTAAAACGGTATAAACAAGTCTAACTCACAAACTACTACACTAACTAATGTTCAAAGGTCTAAGTAATTAACTGGCTATTTTGGTGCTGGGAATTTCGAAAATATATTGTTTCGTCTAATTCTTTTGTCTGGATTATGTCTTTTACGGTACGGTTTACTTGCTCCCATGATTTCTGATTGCCTACGAGTAGGTCCTCTGATACGTTTGCAATATTAAATATTTTACTGCAGTTCTGTGCATAACGTACCCTCATGCTTGACCACCTTAGACAACAAAAGAGCGTATGTTAGCATATATACATTAATCATGTATTTTTATTAATTTTACTACTATAACACAGATACTAACTGGACTAACCTACTAATTACCACGCGACGCGTTAATTAAACGCATCTCTCGTTCCATTTTGCGCTAGTAACGAAATTTCTGGTAACCTAGCAATTCAGTTAAAAATCGTGATGCTGCGCTCCTATCTCTACTAATAAAGACCAAATGCTATTCAAATTTCATTTACACCGCGTCCAAAGCAGATTTCCAAATTATGGTGCTTCTATTGACCAGCATTTGCATTCCTCAGCACACAGCAACAGCAAATAGAAGCGGTGATCGACTGTTCGTGATTGTTTTGAAGCAGCGTAAATGAGGTCTGAATAGAGTATGGGCTCTATTATATTATACCAACACACTCCATGCTAGTATCTGAACGTCACTTGATCTTTATGGTGAAACCGTGTCGGTATGTTCTGACTCGCTGTTATGGAGGTGGACATCTTAACGGTTCTTGTGAATCCACCGTTACTTTGAAAAATTTGTCATCTGTGTATATTCCTTCGAAAAAGGTAGGTTCAATTGTATCATTTCAACCCTGAATTATTGTATTTAACAAGGGGATTTCTACTTTTACCAACATGTTTTTTGCTGAACACATTTTATTGAAGGCAATTGTGTATTTTCGTCCTAAACCTTCCTCGT